GGGGGGAAAGAGAGAGAGACTAATACACAGTACAACTGGCCATACATTGTAGCAGCACAGCATTAATCTGTTAAACTGCGAGTTAAAATCTGGCCCAGCAGTATTATAATATGAGGGTTTAAATTCCTATTCCCACACGATAAAGGTTGAAGTAACATAACATCATCAAGTTCTTCCATATTTTACCTTACAACAAAAGCAGCAATAGAATGATGGATGTTGTGCAAGTGATGTCAGATCTGTACTTTTAAAGTGATGTATTATTATTATTTATTATTAACCTCAAATGGGTTTTTACCCGGTGGCAAAAAAGAAAAATTCATTTTAGTGATGTCTTCACAGGCAATCAGCCATGTCAAGTGGCTAGAAATAATATTTCCCACATATACGGGACATCCTGGGTTCCGCAGACATATCAGATCCATGATGATGGGGAACAAGACCTCTCGAAATATCACTTTTTTATTGCCACCTGAAGCAGCTGATTGTCTGAAGATATGACTGAATTTAGTTGCCTCCAAAGCTACAGACCATACAAAAATTCATAACAGGAATTAAAAAACGTTGGAATGTCACTTCAACATATTTAGCATTTGAAACTTATTTCACAAAACCACATCTTCTGCGAGTGAACAAATTATCATTTACGAAATGAAATTTGAAAGGATAGCAACATGTGTAAACAATGTAACTTTTGGTGCATGTTAATTTGCATATGGCTGAATAGTCACTACTCAAACTGAAATTTGAACTGAAATTTAAATTCCTCTGTAAAAAAATGTATACTTAAATTTCATGATTATGAACATAACATGGCACAGTGCTACTAAGTGGTCAACAGTTATATCTTGCTACAGAATTTGAAGTTTCATCACTGTCACTGCAAAATCTTAACCTGAAACAGTTGAATCCACTTCTTGTCCTCATAACCCAATTCCATACAGTTATTTTAAATATCTTCTCATGTTAACTTTGTCTCTCAAGTGGCCTCTTTCAATTAGGTTTTCCAATATCGGTGTATCCACTTGTTACAAACAATTTTTAAATTAAGCAACAGAAACAAGACACATTTGCATGAAACATAGCCAATTTTTAAGATTCCTGCTAAATGCAAATGGGTGGCAATTACAAACATGAAGGCTGACTTTTGTCATTAATGGAGTAAAATAAAAAAGGATACTGTACTCTTGCAATGAGGTGGTTTGGAAGGATTTACTATTCACATCCACAGGAATACCATGTCTAAAATATAATTTTGCAGAAAGTATACTTTGGTTCAAGGTATGGGTACTGTGTATAAAATGGATACAATCCACTGCTGGAACATAATGAAAATGGGACAACCACAGAAGGCAAAGGACACATCATCATGAACAGTAAACTTCAATTTCAGAGATGCCAAGCACCCTGTAAAATGCAGTTCCTCAGACCAGTCTGTAATTTCAAATGCATAATGTTCCAATGGATAAGACTTATCTCATCTCTTTATAATATTTCAAGTGAAAATACTAATTATGCTACTAAACCACACTCTGAACCAAAGTAGCACCATTTAGCAAACGTAAATGAAAACCAATTAATTATATGAAATGTACCACTTTTTGCAAACCATACAGTGATTCTTGTGAATATGAAGGTATCACAATGAGAAATAAAACCACTCATGATCCACTTTTACATATTTCCATTCTTTCTTTACTTCTCTTTGAGCTTTTTAAAAGGCACACATAATTGCCATTCTGAGAACAAATGGTTTAACCACATATTACTATTTAAAATATATAATGTAATTAATGTTGTATTTGGAAGTCACCCTTCCTGGTTTCACAACTGCAAGAATGGCAGTTTTAAAATACTTGAAACTTAGTTCATCTGTAGATGTTCTTTGGTTCAATATCATACTACATAACAACTGCAAGCATGACCCTAGTGATGGCGGACTTTGGCAACACCTTCGATAACATATGCTAAGAGTTTCACATATGTGGATATACTTGTTTCTGTAATATATGAGAAGCTCAAATATTTCATGGCACTAAAGCTTTTAAACTTAGAATGATATATTTGTAAAATATATAAGAGCACAACATTAAACTTGATTTACATGGATGGAATCTGGTGGTGTTATGGAAGTATTTAAAACATCCCACCAGGACTGGCTGACTAGTGAACAGACTACACGGAAAACTATAATGTGTAATACAGTGCTAACAGGCCTAAGAAAACAGGTTCAGTAAATTACACAAACCAGAAAACTTCAAAATATTATCCCATGATCAACATTCTACAAGAAACAGTTGTGTGCGCTGAAGCTATTACTCTAACCATGTGAAAAGACAATGGTTATATGCAGCAGGTATCCATTGGACTCAGCGACTGTGGGATATAACATAACTCCATTCATTCTCGATCAGTCATTCTTAATGTCACTTAACCCTACAACCCTCCTTGGGCACTCTGCTCCACAACAAACCCACTCATGTACAGCTATAACCAAACATTTGAATGCCACTGTGGGATGCACATTAACAAAGTGTCTAACTTTTGAAACCAAATATAAACATTCAAGTAAAATTTTATTTTTTTAAACATTCAGTACACACTGTGTGGTACCTCATGTTAATGGCAAGACTAATTTTCTAACAACTGTAATCTGCAATATTGCTTTTTACTTGAAAACATATATTATACAACCGGTATTCTAGCATTCAAATGTCTCACACCTAGGTCCAATCATCCCATCACTTCATCATGCGAAGTTTTACAAAATAACCAACCTATTAAATCAAACCACTGTAAATTGAAATAAAAATACCTGCAAACAATATTAATCACAGCAAATTCACAACTCTTTATGGTATAGTAAAACCAATGAACTAGAAACACATGTACAACACTTAACAAAATAAAACAAAAACAATCAACAAAGGGAATTTAAAATTAATTTCCCCACTTTATGAGCAACAGTATTACTGGGCACAAGATGACGCACATGAATAAACAAGCTTTGAGCAGTTCAGTCACTGGCCATATATAAAATAATATAAAATTATTTGGTATCTCAGCATTTTAGGTACTATTGTACATCTGAGTAAATGACTGCTAGCTGTTGAAATCTTTGGTATTATAATCTATTCCAGTAAATTAAGAAACAGTCTATAATACAAAGAAACCCAAAATAAGAAAATATATGCTCTGTAAAAACTGTTGAAGTCCCCCACAGAATTAAAATAAGGTAATACATCTATGTATGTCATAAGATAATCATAGCCCTTCTCTACAGCTGGATGTTCACATTCTTTTAAAGTTCTTGTTACACTTTTCAAGAAACCCATTTATTTCAATGATATACAAATGTTTCTAAAACATATTTCAGTTCCTACTGTAGCCCAAGGACTTGATAAAAGAAAAAGAACTCTTGCAAACAGGCAAACAAATATAATAAACACTCAACATTCCTAACAAAATCTCAAACCTCATGAAAATAAGTTGAAGCCAGTCAAGGTAGACAGAAGGCTTCATTAATCACATATCAAAACTTTGTACACAAGCATAAAACAGTTGTCATATGCCTCCAATTACACTGCAAAACTTGGCTAGTTCAAGGGGAAAGAAGCCGATGAACCACCTGGCTTTCACCACTTCCTTTGTTATAACAAATTAAATTGGGTTTAAAACTTTGCCCTAAATATAGTAACCCACATTAAGTTATAGCAGTTAGAATTTTGTGGCTATGAATTAATATCCAGAGTTTTTCATTTCTGGCAACATGCTGAGCATCTTCTCGCCAGATAGAACCAGTGATCAGTAGCTCACTTATAGATACTACCTATGGCAGATTTCTTTTGTACTTATTTGTCTTTATTTATATATTATATCTTCATTTGGTGGTTTCTTGCAAGTAGTTGTAATCACAGACATGACATGAATATTATTTTGTGATTATGGGACATGAAAAGAGCTGTGATGATTATGACAGTAAAGAGGAAGTTGGAAGACATTTCCATTGATGAGCCTGGAAATGAGACTGTCAGAAGCAGAAATTTACAGACTCAAATTCCAACAGTTCTGTGGACACACAGGCTGTACAACAGGTGGAACTAAAAATTCAGGTCTACCACACAATGCAAACAATCAACGCACAGCCCAAGATAACTAAGGATAATAATGAAGATGTTTAAACATAGATAATGTTCTTGTGTTACAAACTGATTACTTTAAATTAAAAGTTCACATAACTGAACTAAAGTAATGTTTCTTTGGCACCACATTCAGAAAAAAAAATCATAGGACAAGTGGTCAATTAATTAAACAAGTACACCTAGAGTCTTTGTTTCATAACTATGCAATAAAATAAGTTATTGCAGAAAATGTGAAAGTCTAGGTATGTCAGTATCACAAGGATATTTTCATGTGAACTATCAGATTCTCTAGAAATATACTGGCCTTGAACAGCTCTGGACAGAGCTATGTGACTGCTGAAGTAAATATATTAAATATATAGAATATAGATAAAAATGTAAATAGGTCAATGTTCTGTAATAAATATATATATATATACATATATAGCTGTGTCTGTGAGGTTGTATGATAGTTAACAAACTAACAGTAACAGATATAAACATGCTGATTTCCTTCCTGTTCGATCTTAGCTGCAGCTGCAACTACTGGTATCTAGGCTAACTTACACATTTAGAACCCTGTTTAAAATCTAAATTAAAATGTATCTTTCAAGGCAGATTCAGTTGATTTGAAAGACTCATTGTCAACAGTGTTTTACACTATTCATTGGGAGAAGACCTATATTATTAATTTATCATATGAACATGCAGATAAACAAAAATCACACTTTCAAATATCTGAAAGATAACCCCAATATCACAACTTTCTGATTATCTGCTCTATTCTTGATATGACAGAGATATCATTAAAACATTTCTACTTCAACAAAAGGGACACTATTCCTGGAAGCATGTACCAACCACCTACTTATATCAATCTCTTAAATTTTGCATGCAGCTTCATTAAAGAACTTGATATTTCAGGTATTTGCTAGCATTCCAATGTAACTCTCGCAATATCAACTATGACACCTCTGCAATAAAACTATAATTCCAAACAGTGTCGAACAGATGTCATTTCCCTCTACTGACACAAACAAAACTCTCCATCAAGCAAGCTTATTATCCTCATCAGTTATTACTTTGATTTCACTACTGGCCATTTCTTCACCCACCATATCTACCCCTTTCCCTAAAATGCCTCCTATTCCATTGCTGCCTGCTACAAACATCCCTTCTGAACCCTGGGCTCCTAAACCATTACTGCCTAATCCAAGTGGAACTCTGGTCTTCACATCCGCTCCGTTTGTCCCAGACCCCAACATAGATCGGTTCCTCCCCTCTGGCCCACATCTGCGTTCCCTAGGCCCCACCAACGTAGCCTTCTCTCTCCCTTCACCAGGGTGTCTGTAAGCGACATGCTTTCGGAGTGCATCACGTGAACGAGAGATGTGGCTGCACACGCCACAAGCATAGTTGACATTCTGATGTGTCTCCATGTGCACGCGCAGATTGTACTGGTTGCTGAGCTGCTTTCCGCAGACCAGGCAGGTTGCGAACAGCTTGCCAGTACTGGTGCTGGCCGTGTGAGGAGTGCTAGGACAGGAAGAGCTAAGCTTGAAATTGGAAAAGTGCGGACCTGGACTCAGATGAATTCTATTTGCTGCTGCCATTGTTGCTGCATCTGGACCAAAATTTCCACCACCAGAATCTTCAGAAGAAGGGGACTGTTGAGCTGTGAACATAACACATGCAGCAATTACAACGAGAGAACACGCAACTGCACTCTTACACATGGCATTACAAGTCATGATGCACATCTCCTGACTTGGCATATGCAATCATTTCACAATGACAGCAATTAAATATTGAGTTGAGACACCAAAGCAATGGCCTGCATACACAGTGCACACTGAGTTTAAGCAAGGGAAATTCCATACTCCTAGTATCATCAAAATCTGTTAAAGACATGAAGGATAAGACCCTCAAGTGAAGCAGTCCTTATACCCTCAACATTGTCCAACGTGCTCAGTGTAGCAGGCACTCATACCTTAACAATAGAGTCAAACTCAGCACGTCAATAATGCTGCTAACTTTGGGCATCATTTATATCTTCAACTATGTCATGTTTACAATGAAAAGCTGAAAAAAATATGCCTACTAGCTTCACCATGATTGTCTGTCCACATATAACAACTCCAGAACTATCAATCACTCCTGATCAAATTGTTAATTAGATGTCCTTGCTCATCCTCATACTTTGGGGACAAATGTAACAGTTTGAAATCAAAGTGCTCAGGAAAATATTTAAACTTAAGACAGATAAAGAGAGAGATAACTTTAGACTGTTACAAAAATAAGAAACTCTTGTTATATAAACAGGTTAACTGGTATTACTTTTCTAATAATACTTTGGTGTGGCAGTATTCATTGTCTTGTTACCTAAAAAGTAAGAAATCAGTGAGTTGCAATCAACCAAAAGGTAACTAAGGGCAAATTCATGAGCCAGACAAAAATGTTTACTTACACTGAACCAGAGATCATCTCTTTGAGGGAGGAAGACATTGAATCAGTCTGCCACAATTTGTGGTAGGTCAGACCAGTGATCAAAGTGATTGACAGAATAATTTTCCAGAAAGCCAAGACAGTAAATAAGATAGGTCTCAAATGTAAATGCCAATCAGATAAAATTACTGATGACAGAATAAGAAAAAAATAGTAGGGGGTTCTGACCAAATTCAATGCAATACACAGTAATAGCATTCCCAAAGATGACTTCACTTAATGCTGCTGAGATGGCAAGTAGTCAATACATGGCACAGTAAACCTATACACACATACTCCAGACTGGGATTGTAGACAGTGAACACCTTTCCTGATGACGTACATCAGACACAAGTCACTATTTTTGACCAGGTTAGTGACTGCTTTGCAAAGGCCATGTGCTGCTTCACACTGGGCCTAACCTGTAGCATGGCGGTGATGACCCAGCTTATTTTATGGTCCTTCCCAAACACAAGCTAAGTAATTTTGGACTTTCCTACTAGCCCTCCTTTGAAATTATTCTTATGTTCTTCAATTTTAACTCCCAGTGGTCTGCCAGTTTCTCCTGGCATTGTTAGGACACCAAGGTCTATACGATACAATGGGCTGGGAAAGTGACTAGGACAAGAATAACAGAATGCATAAAAAAATTTGATGGGGACATCTTTTTGAAACTATGCAGTGGGAGGTACATGGAATTGATTAATCCTCATGTTTTTTTATGCTGGGTGTATCCAGTCAAATCTAGAAGATTAGTTTGTTTTGTGCTGCAATCATGTATTTATAAGTTCCCAAAGACTGTTACATCATATTTGGCCTGGCCAGTTACTGTTTATTCATTCCAAGAAAGAATAAAATTTTATTAAGTATTACTTGCTGTCATATATTACATAAATGGCTGTACTGGAACCTAACAAACTACACAGTAGAGTTAATGTCTTGAGAGCTGTGGCAGCCATTTCTAATATGAAATCAGCTACATGAGTGATCTGAAAGAATGTTTACTAGACTCAGACAGTTACAGTGAAAATTACTGTGATAAATGGCACATCTGTGAACAATGCTAATGGACAATAATGATGGTAATATTGCTCTGCCCAAGTGTTGATACATTAAGACACATAAAATTCCAGCGGACAGACATAACTTTCCATGGGTGTAACTGAACTGTGAGAAGCAGCAAAGGACACAAATTACATTTTGGAAACTATCAAACTATTTCTCAATAAAGAATTTTTGGGAGACACTGTAATGAAGGTGAAATGCTAAGCAGAACTATGTATTTATCTGTGGTTTAATTAACAAAGCTGTCCACAGTTCAGACTGTATAGTGTAGAGCTAAGCACAACTATTCATAAAACAGTGTAGGGAGGTGAAGGTGACTTCAAATGATTTGTGCTGCTTGGTATGTTTAGATTTGTTTCGACCACTCTAAGTACGATCACACCAAGCTGAATTACTAAGACAATGTAAGCCAACTCCTAATATTCTGCAGATATTACAGCACATCTACAAAATTTAATTGAAAATATAAGTCAATCATTTCAGTCCAAGTATGCATAAACATAAAACCCATTTTTTCTGCAGATGGGTTATTTAAACTGATTTAAATCCTCTGGTGATGATAGGTAAAATTAGCGAGGACATCCAATAACAAAACTTCTTTAAAAATACAAACGAACAACTCTGTCAATCCACTATACCAAATTTCATAAAAATAAGTTTTATACATTTGGCACTTATATGCAGACAGAGACAAATGAGATCAAACTCATATGTAACCTTCAAAATGTTTCTCAAACACTCCTAAATAGCTCTATGCAACATAATATTTTTATTCCAGAACAATTCTGCCAACAATTCATAAATATCTGCAATAAATACAATTCAAAGCTGTAAGATCACAAGAAAAACACCTGGAAACCGAGTACTCACGAGTGAAGTACACCTTTCCTTTCTATTTAATACTTTTATTTACAAGAAAACATATTGCTTGTACAGCCACTTACCATGAACAGCAGAATTCTCAGCACTTCCCAATTCCATATCTTCAATGCCTGCTGCCCTTTTCAAAACAGCAGCCAAATCAGGGGAGATCCTGCTATTTCCTGTTCCTTCACTGTTATGTTCCCGTTCAATTTTTACCCTAGTTCCACCAGAAGCAGAGTTTTCAATGCTTGAGGGAAGTCCCAGAATTGGCGAGGACTGGTGCAGAGAATCCTCTGTCTCCATTTT